GGTACCGTAACCGTAACGGGAACGAAACGGAACGGACGGACGAGCGAGTACGAGACTCTCTCTCTCTCTCTCTCTCTCTCTCTCTCGAACAAGACGCAGCAGTTAGAGAAAGCTCTCTCTCTCTTTCAAGCGTCTCTCTCTCTCGAACAAGACGCAGCAGTTAGAGAAAGCTCTCTCTCTCTCAAGCGTGAGACCGGGGAAGGAGGCGACCGCCCCCTACCCCGCCCTTCTTCCTTCTCTCTCTCTAAAGTCTCAACATCAACGCGACCTTCAACTTTCAGTCAACAGTGACACTGCTCCGTCCTGTCTTCCCGGTATCTCTCTCATGTTTTCTTACCAACTTCAGCGCCAGCACTCCATTTTTTATCAAACTTTATCGTTAATCAATTCTTACCCTTACTTTATGGGCGTAGCTCCAATAGGGCATAAGATCAGAGAAATTATTATTAGGCTTAAGTGGCCTGCCCGCATTGCAGACTTGAAGGTAAGAGTTTGGTTCATTTAGCACGCTTAAAAAAGTCCTAAAAAGAGCATGGTTGGAAGCATTCATAAAAGATATACTAACATATCGAACATGGCAAAAGATATACTACCATATGGAATATGGCTCTTGATAGAGTAGCATAGCGGATTAAGATTTATAGTCGACCTCAAATGCTTAGAAAGATTTTTGATGATGATGACGACGACCACTTTATCAATTCTTATCCTTGTTCCAATGCAAACAAAAATATAAATACAACATTTTTTTAGAAATGTATGTAATGAAAATATTTATTTATTTGTTTTTCGTACAAAATAAATTTTTCGAATGTTGTGATACACATCAATCTATTAGATTTCTTAAAAATGATTAGAATTCTGTATTATGACACCATTTATTTTTGATACAATAAAGTCATATTTTTATAAAAAAAATTAGCAAACGGTAAATATATTTACATTATTTCATAACATATATCGCTATTTATTTGATTTTCATATATTGCATTTCTTTTAACCACTTAATGTTTTCGTGGATGGTCCAAGAATTTAGTGCTACAAAACTCAATATACTTATCCTGTGGGCTACTTTCAAGAATGGACACGGTTTTTATGCGGCTAGGCCTCATATTGTAAACATGCAGGCATGGCAATAAATATATTTTTAAATATAATTTGATCCTAATTTTTAGGGAATATATATAATATTTAACATGGAGATCATGAATATGAAAAAAATAATAATTATTATTATATCAAAAAAACATTTGGACGGTTAGTTACAATTGTTTTTAGATGGACCACCTATTTGCATCCATCTTTAAAATGAATGCTTCATAACTCTAGACTGCATATTGTAGAAATGCGATCCTTCAAGAATTTATGCAAGAAACTAATGTATATATTTACAAAAGGGCGCAGGTTACGACTTTAAACAAACAAATTAAGGTACACCTTCAAATCTTATTATAAATAGTCAAAAATTCTTTGGATAGCTTAAAATTTTATTATCATCTCTAGTTATAAAATTTTAAACTCTAAAAACGGTTCAAATCAAGTAGATCTATAAACTTGAAATTCTTGAAAATTGACACTCCATAAAATATATTACAAGATGCATTATTTTTAGAAGGTTTTCCAATATCAAAGCAATCTTTTATGATGTAGTTTTAGATACACATTCTACATTTTAAAGTTGCAACCCTATATAAACTTTTTCCTTTGCAAAAACAAATTATAGTGTATGTTGTGAAGTGCAAAAGGTTTTTACAAGTTAGCGGTTTGTGGGGAAGGACGCATATCTGGTGGTGCAATGGGAGCAAAAAAAACAGGTAGTTGAGTTGTTTGTATCAAATAATTTTGCACTCAAATTTGATTCACTTTGAGAACAATTTCAAAGAAAAATTGAATTAAAAAGAGATGCTTTGAGCTCTTAAAATCCTAGGGCTAATTCTTCACCAAATTGTCTAAAGTTAGGGTGAGTCTTGTATAAGGTGCCACCTTATACTATACAAGTAAGTCGTACCTCTAAATTTTACTGGAATATGTGGTTTAGGTGGCTGAATTTTTATGATGGTTTGAAAATCCATGTCCAACAGCTGAAAATCCTGAAAGTAGACGGTCTAGATAAGTGCTTACAAGATGCTTTATTTTTAAGACTTTAAAATATTTGTTCTTCATTCCATACATAGATAAGTGCTTACAAGATGCATTATTTTTAAGACTTGAAAATATTTGTTCTTCATTCCATACATCTCGAGGTTGAGATGATCAATTGGAACGTCTTCAACTTCAAAACATTTCTATAGTATAAGGCTGCAACCTTATAAAAACTTTTTCTTAATTTTAAAGGGAGAATTGATTTGGAGTAATTTTCGTCCGTGCCATTTAAGAATATAATAATTACGGGGAGGTCCAAAAATATGCCAAATTTACACAAAAGTCCAGCTTGCAAGTCCTTTCCTATTTTCAATTCTGCCCCTCGATGCGATAATATCGGACAGGTTTTATGTTTTATTTTTTGTATTTTTTTAGAAGCGTTGGGCTCTTCGGCTGAGGGGAAAGGCGTATTTGGGGCAATCTTATGTTCATAATGTCGGACAATCCTGAGTATGGAATGTTGAATGTTTGCAACATCGTACATTGTCAGCCCTAATTATTTATATGTCTGGTAATTGGAACATCTCACTAACCGGAATACTTTATTAATATTTATACTAGGGTTTGGTTTCTATAAGGTTGTAATCTAATTTACATGTAATTTGTAAAAAAAGTTCTTAGGGTTGTTCAAAATCTATTTTCATATCTAATTATAAATTGTTATACTCCAAAAAAGGTTAAAATCAAGTAAATCTATAAATATATGAAAATCTTGAAAATGGACGGTCTAGATAATGTATTGCAAGATGCACTATTTTTGGGACTCAAAATCTTTCTTTTTTTCATATTCGTACATCTCGATATTGAGATGATCAATTATAGTTTTTTTCAACTTTTAAAACAACATTTTCTGATGGATTTTTTAGGTGCATCTATAATTCTACATTTTAAGGTTAACCTTATATAAACTTTTTCCTTCATAATGTCGTATTACTGCAGTGTGTTTATTGGCAAGTTCGATGATAAAAATATCGGACTAACCCATACACTCCTTCTCGATCTGACATTTGCTACATTATATTGGTTTTTTATTTCCTTTTTTTTGTTTTTTCTGCCGATCGTGGATAAAAAATACTTTTTCACATTATTGTAGATTTCATTACAATTCTCAAAATTTTCTTTTTACAAAATATAATAATCACATCATAGAGACATAAATTTTTGAGAAAAAAAAAAAACACTTCAGAAACATACTTGGATGACGACAATGAAGATTTGGAGCTTTTGAAGTGAGTTCCTCTTGATTTTTGGGCTTGTGCTGAGAATTTTGAGCCTGCGTCATATACCCTAACTCAAACTGCTTTGCATGATATATCTAAATTACGGTCCAATGTTTCTAACATCGGACTGCCATTTAAACAAAACCCGATATCATTAATTTTATATTGTAGCTAAGAGAAAATAGTATGATATTCCTAATATCAGATAGAATTTTAACACATTGTATGATATCACAAGTGCCAAACAACCTATAATCAAAGGGATGTCAAATGTTTAAAACATCATATACCACATGCCTTACACAAAATGAAGGAAAAGAAATATAAAAATTCATCTGAGGTTATAACTATCGGACTTTGGGAAAAAAAAGAAAAAATAGAAAAAGGGGTGCGGTGGTATGTTATAAATAGGAAAAATTTCGTACAGACCCCTAATTCTCCATCTTGTTTCACGGTAGACCCTCTTTCTATTTTTTTTTCAAGTGGTATTAAAAAACCCTCATGTATTTCATTGTACCCCTTCATCTCTTTTCTCCCAAGTTTATTCACTTTTGGCCACAAAAAATTAGTCCCAACAAATTATTTTATTCTATCTCAATCCAAAAGTCTTTTTAATCCTATTTTGCACTCCTTCAATTCTATGTTGATTTTCTCAAAAAAAAAAAGAAGAATTCAATTGTGTTTAAATTGTGTGTGCACGAAAGTGAGAGAGTTTACAAAAAGAGTAAAATATGGTTAAAAAAGTTTTTGGATTGAGATGAAATAAAACAATTTGTTGGGGCTAGTTTTTGTTGCCAAAAGTGAATAAACTGGGAGAGAAGAGATGAGGGATATGTTGAAATACTTAAGGGCTTTTCTATGACACTTGAAAAAAAAGTAGAAGGAGGGTCTACCGTGAAATAAAATGGGGAATTAGGGGTCTGTACGAAAGTTTCCCTTATAAATATTGGAACAGTGGACCTCTACAAAACTTTTGCATATTTGTGGACCAGTCCATAATTACCATATGGCACGGACATAATTTTTCCTATTTTTTAAGCTGCAAAACTTTCTTTTTGAAACTTATCTAGTGTAAAATTTATTTGAAGATAAAATAGTAAAAATAATTTGAGAGTTAAGGGTCAAATAAAATTTCCTATCTATGTCTCTTGGTATAGAACACGTGCTTTTGGTGATCATACGTACCACCAAATGGTTTTATTTTCTTTGAATGATTGCAAGAACCTGGATGTCTTGGATCCCAAGAATCAACTCAAATAAAAAGCCATTA